GATTTTCTAATTTTAAACCATTCTGGGAATTTTTCTTCTTTATATTTATGAGTAAGATAGGGCTATGCTTTCATTTTCTTGTATTTTCTTTGCTTTAGTAATTTTATATTTCTTCTTTTTTAAACACGAATAAGATAGAGATTTTTATTCCTCAATAGGCATCCAGGTCTGCAATTTTTTTTTCTTTGATTTCAGTTTAATTGCTTTCAAAGTTATTGACTTACTTAATTTTTAAGATTTGTATGACCAATTTGCCACTTTTAGAAATTTATCTACTTTGTAAAAGTTTTCAAACTGATATGACTATTCATAAAATTATTGTTATTTCTACTATTTGTTACATCAATATTAGTTTTTATCTTTCATTCTATGTTGTGCTTATTTTTACCTTCTATTTTCTTAATAAATCTCACCATAAGTTTGTTCAACTAATGTCTGGAAAAAAAGTCTTTCTATACTTATTCAATTTTTGTTCCTTTTTATTGATTTCTGCCTTTAATGTCATTATATTCTTCCTTCTTATTTTGTTGAGTTCATTGTTTCTTTTGTTCAACATAGATATCTGATATAGTTAAGGTAATATGTTAATTCTGAGTACTTTAAAAAATCTGTTCAAAAATTTTAAATGTCATTTTTTGTTTGCAAAATATTTTTTAAAATTATATAAGCAAATCTATACCTCCCAAAATTTAAAATCATGTTTATATTTCATGATATTAGGGAGTATTTTCTTCCCCATTTTTGTTCACTTTTCTGTGTCTCAAGTTTTTGTTTTTTGTGCCTTCAGTCTATTTGTATATTGTAAGTACTGTTATAGTAGGTTTTTTTTCACTTTATATTATACTATTTTGCTAATTTAAGAGTCACACTTTGTGTTTATTCTTCTACTGTTTTCTCCTAACTTACTAAGGACAATTATTTTTAATGTCGGTTTCTTAAATTTTTCAACATATATACTTTAGCACAATTCTCTCTAATTCTCATAATCTTATTTTCTAACCTCTGTCCCCCTTCCATATAGGTATAAGTTATTTATTATAAAGATAAAATTTTAGGGACCTTGCCTTTTTTGGGGCAATGATAAATTTTGTTAAGTTGTCTATCCTTTATATCCATTTTGTAATCTCCTCTTGAATTATTTTTATTTTACTAGAATGCTTCTTTTGGGGGTATTTTTAAGGAGACTTGTCACAATAAAGTTTCTGAAAATTGTATGCTTGACAATATCATTTTTCATCTTACAATTTTTATAGTACTTTTATTGTAAAATCTGGGACCTAGCTTTTCAATAGATTTTTAAAAAATCAAGATCCAACAAAATATCATCTATATACCCGAAAAAAAGGAGGAAGGTTAAAAATAAAGCGATAGCAAAATATATATCAAAAATGAAACATAATCTAACAGAATAGCGTACAGATGTTTATGAAAAGCCATGTATAAGGATGTTTTTAACATCACTATAAAAATTAAGCCCAATTTGAAAAAACAAGCAAATACTTATTAACAGAATAGGTAAATAAAATTGTGGCATACAGTATTCATAGAATGGCATGCTATATAGCAGTGAGAATAAATAAATTACAACTACATGCAATAATATGAATGGATTTTAAAAATTTGCTGTTAAATAAAAGAACCCAGACACAAGTGAAGACATACTCTATGATGACATCTACACAAAGTTGAAAGACAGGCAACCCTAGTCTATGGTGTCAGAAGTAGGAGAGTGGTTACTCATGGTGGGAGTGTGGGAGTAACAGGAAGTGTAGCAAAAGAAGATGGAACAGGCTCCAGAGAGCTAGTAATGTTCACTTTTTTATCTAGGTTCTTGCTGCATGAATGTATTTACTCTATGATAGTTAAGGTTGTATACTTATGATGTGTGCACTTTCCTTTATTAATGATATATTTAATTTTATAAGATTAAAAAAGCAGTATCACAATTTTCATCAAAGATAAAATGAAATCTAAATTTATTTTTCTTCAACGCTTTAACTTATTGCCTTCTTGCATCCAATACTGCCTTGTGACATTTAATGTCTCTTTAATTCTTTTTCCTTTGTAAGTCATTTGCTCTTTTCATTTTTGAAGCATTTGACGTTTTCTCCTTGATTTTCTTAATTTCATTATAATAGGCCTTAAATTGGCTTCCTCTTAGGTGTTATGTTTGGCACCCCATGAAACCTTTGATTTTTCAATGTGCATATTTCATGACTCTTTTTTAAATCAGCCACTATTTTATTATTTATAGCCCTTGATTTTTTTCCTCTCCTCATGAAATTTCTCCTGTTATACAGATATTGGTCCTCTTGATCCTGCGTGTGCATACATACAGATGTGCATGCACATGTATATGTAAATATTCTTGTCAACCCAGATTGATACAGTCTGTTGAACCAAGAGACACTTGAGAAAGTGGTTTAATAAGGAGAAGGAAGGCATTTAACAGCTGAAGGATCATTTTTTCCCCCGACTAGATATTCTCTGTAAAAGAAATTTGTCATTGCGCCCTGAGTTGAACCAGAGGCAAGTTGAATTACTTTGTAAATAAGATAGTCCAGAAACAAAAGTGAATCCTAGAAAGTGTCCCAAAATACGAAGAGTGGTTAGAAGTTTGAATCTATTGTCTAAATAATTTAAGTGTGGGACTGTGGATCATTTATTATTAATTATAGAACAGTTCACAGTCTGACAAACAATAGTGACAGTTACTGAAAGTTTACTATGTTCCAGGAATGATTTAATACCAGAAGTACTGGTGCTAGTATTATTTCATTGTTCTCCCTCTGTCTGAAGCATTCATCAACTTGCCCAAGGTCACATGGCTAGTCATGGAACACACCCTGGCTCCCGCGCTGGCTTGTTACATGGCTGCTGTCTGTGATACTTACAGAAAATTCTATTCATGTACTCCTCCATGACTAGCTTTTCCCACTCACTTACATTTGTGACATTTCTTTTGCCTACACATCCATTTCTATGTCTGAATAAGTGTGAATATCAAAGATGTGGTTGTTAACTTATTTCACTCATAGGTCATCTAATTCATAAAAATAGTATAAAAATCTTTAAAGAAAAAAGTTATACTGGCAAATAAAAACTTCCAGAATTTTCTGTTGCATACCAGTCTCATTCCAATGCCTTTTTAGAGTTAGCATCTACTCACTTATGATCCCATGTCACGCTGTGCTGTGCAGTCTGAGAAAGAGAAATACTCTATACTAGTCAAGTGGAATGGTATTTGAGAAAGAGAAATACTCTATAATAGTCAAGTGGAATGGGACTTGCAGAAGAGGGAAAGGGGGTATCAGTCAAAGAGTACAAAGTTTCAGTTAGGCAAGTTGAGGAAGCCCTAGAGCTCTACCAGACAGCATAGTGCATAGTGCCTGTTTTTACCAATACTGTATTACCGGACATTCCCCAACATACAAATGAGTTTCATTCCAAGAGCACCATTGTAAGTCCAATTTATTTTAAGTCCAATAAAGTTACCCTAGGTACCCAACTAATACAACCGGCTATATTGTACTGTAGGTATTTAATTTAATAGGCTACACTTACACCTGGTGGAGAGAAATAATACATAAAAAACACACATGTGCTTCCTTAAAGTTCTTAATTTGGAGATTCATATATAGGGGACTTACTGTATATACTTAGAAATTTGCGAAGAGAGTAGATCTTGTGTTAAGTGTTCTTATCACAATTCATAATAGTGATAGGGTGGGAGTAAACTTTTGGAAGGGATAGATATGTTTATGGCATAGATTACAGTAGTGGTTTCATAGGTGTAAACAGCTTAGAATTGCAGAATAGTCATGAGTCACTTAACTGAGATACATTCTGAAAAATGTGCCATTAGCCTATATTGTGGTTGTACAAACATCATAGGGTATACTTACACAAGCCTAAATAGCATAGCTTACTACATACCCAGACTGGATGGTATAGCCTGTTGTTCCTAGAATACAAACCTGTACCACATGTTACTGTAGGCATACTGAACATACTGAAGGCAACTGTAACTCAATGGTAAGTATTTGTATATCCAAATGAAGGAAAGGTACAGTAAAAATACAGCATTATAATCTTAGGGGACTATCATCCTATGAGATCTGTCGTTGACTGAAACATTCTTATGTGACGTATGACTTTACATTAAATATGCACATCTTTTTAATGTTTATCACATGTCAATATAATGGAGAAGGAAGGAAGGAAGGAAGAAAGGATAGATGGACTATGTGTCCTCACGGTGAAAGCTTTGTCCCAGCACTTTACGGGGGGTGGGGGTGGTGGTGGGGGGTGGTAGTAAAACAGAAAAGACTTCAGGAGGTGAATATTTTATTAATCTCTTTGTCTTTTTTTTTTTTTCCAGAGGCAAGAACTCTGGAACTTGTTAAGATAAAAAAAAATCCTCATAACTAATGAAAGGGAAGGAAACACCTCAGTAAAGAAAATAACTGATCATGCCACGAAAGAAGAGAAACCCTTACAGAATTGACTGTGTAAATATATGACTTGATTCTAGATTTAAAAATAATAAATTGAAGTTTTTTAAAAATAAAAGACAAAAAACGTGTCCATTGGTTAAATTCAACTTGAAAACATTTGCCATTCCTTCAAGTGCTAACGCAGTTATTAGCTCCCCAACCTCCCACCCAATTTCCTTTCTCTTTCAGACCAGGTAACAGGAAAATGGAAAAAACTGTGTGTGAGGTGGGGTTTTTGTGTGTGTGTGTGTGTGTTTGGGGTTTTTTTTTTTTCCCAAACACCTTTCCTGTTCCCCCAGCTGCCACCTCTGAAAAGCGAAAAATATATGAAGATAGACAAAAATGAATATAAACATCATCCCACTGCCTACACATAGCTTGGCCTCCGCTCTTTTGTGCACGTGCGGGGAGAGGGTGGGGTTGGAAGAGGAGGGACAGGGAGGAGGAAGAGGAGGAAGGAGGAGGGAGGAGGGAGGCGGGAGGCGGGAGGCTGGAAGCGGGAGGTGGGCACTGTTGCCTGGTGCCTATGGCGGGGGCGTCGGGGGCAGGTGACGTCCTCTTGCTTCTGTAGCAGAGCTCCAGGCGCCTGCCGCAGTCAGCCCCCCGCGCGGCCAGGAGCGAGGATGGAGAGGCCGGTGAGCGGCGGGGCCGGGGGTGGGAAGAAGGGCGCAGGGTGGGCGACGTCGAGCCGGCGGCCCGGGCGGGTGGCGAGCGGAGGGCACCGAGCCTAGGCTGCTGCGGGTCTGGCCCGGGGCTTGGGCAGTGGCGTGGACGGCAGCGCTTCTCTCGCAGCGGTTTCCCTTGCTGAGAAGCGGATTTTGCCTCCGAAAGGGTGGTTTTCAGATCGCTCCTGGCTTCCCGGTTATCCATCCCAATTCCCTGGGGAAAACGGGGCTACCAGGGTGGGCGGCTCCGGAGACGCTTCCCCCACGCTGAGTCCTCTGGGCTGCCTCGGCTCATTGACTTCAGGGCCCGGGGCAAAGAAAGCACAATATATTTTAGACTGCCTCAAGAGAGGAATGACAAATGTATTGGCCCGGTGTCGGCACCAACCACTGCGGTGGGAATGCAGAATACCAGGCTGGATCTCTCCCTCTTTGGTACTCAACCCCTTTCTCCCTCCCAGCCCCTGCCTTGGAAGCCATGAAGGATCAGATAAAACTACAGAAACGAGACAGAATTGACGTGCTTCGCAATCATGATTCTTTAAAGGGTTAATAGAGAAACGGACCTTTTGTTTCTTTAGAACCTGTTTACATAACAAAAAAGGAGGGGAGGGTTTTCACAAACCCCACTGGCATGTTAGATGAAAATCCATCTCAGAATAATGTCTCAAGATAATTTTTTCATATATGGTTTATTGGCAGGACCACACAGCCAGTGATTTCACTATCTTTCTTAACAAAGGAGAATGGTGGCCTGGAAGCTAGCGTCTGCTGTGGGTTAGATGCTCTTAATCTTCACAAATGTCTCTGAACAACAGAAATTACCTCATTTTACAAATAAAAAAAATGGGTGGGGAGGTTCATTTTTTCCAAGTCCATGTGACTACAGTGGTGGGGTCAGGATTGGACTTAGAAACTGGCAGAGGTGTGGTTAGGAGAAATGGAGCTGCCAGGTGGGCTGTGGTCAGGTTAAGACCCAGGCTTTTGTGAATCCTGGCCTGGCTTGGCAAGGGTTATACTCAGTCTTCTTCGTTTTCGTGATTGTTCTTCCCTTATATGAATTGATTGATGAATATTTTAAGCTACCAAACACATAATGGCATTTACGATATCCTTGGCACTGCGTGCTAAGTGCTGTCAATGTTTAATTCTCATAACAACCCTATGAAAGAACATTTAGTTAGTGCTTATTATATCGGCAGTATTCTAGGAGCTTTACATATACGACTTCATTTAGTCTTTTTAACTATGAGCTTGGTACTATTATTTTTTCTGTGTTGTAAAGAAATGTTTGTCCTAGTTCACAAATCTAGTATTTGTTTTAGACAAGGTCGCTTCCCTATCTGAAAACAAATACTGTTGTTTTCACGTTGAACGTATTGCCAGTAATTCTGGATTTGAGGGAAAAAACCATATAAAATTAAAATATATATGTATGTAAGGGAACGACTTTTCTTCTGATTCCCTTTTCCTCAATCACTGCATTTTTGTTTCTGTTGCTTCCAGTCCACAGTATTTTTTTGGGTATGTCTGCTTTGTCTCTTGTTCTAAAACACAGATTTTCCCTGTGCTAGCCAATCCATTCTATATTTCTCATCACAGCCTCTGTGAGGGCCTGGATTTTCATGTGAGAGAGAAGCATAAGGGTTTTAAAAAAATCACGTGGAATTAGAATGCCAATATCTGTCTCCACAATTGCTTTAGCTGAAAATAAAATGTGTTGGGCAATGGCAGCAGAGCCTGAGGAAACATTTGACCTGATTTTTTGCAAATTTCCTATACCATTAGATAGGTTGGGATAGTCTCAGTAATACTGAGAAAATGATCAAGTTGGTCCTGGGGCACTTCAAAACCAAAGCCTTTGTCAATGTTGTACCCAGGAGTGGATGGGCAAGATGAGCAGGTGTCATGTGCAGGCTGTATTTCAGACAGCTGAACCATCTTGACTTTCCAGAGGACAGTGACTTTGTTGTTGGTCTCAGACCTATGAAGACATGAAGAGAAGTCATCAGGAAGGCATAGCATGCTTATGGTGTGCTTGGGCATCAAATAATAAAATATATCCACAAACAGTCATTTGACCTAATAACACCTTCGGGTGATTCAACCTTTAATCCTCTGTGACTTCAGGGATGGAAGGAAAAAGCAACTTGTGCCACATAGATCAGTATCATTGGGCACCATGATGCCACTCCAGAAGGTCTAGGCTGGAAGTCTAAGCCATTGAGTCTCTCAGGCTGAAGACAACAAGGCACTCAGGTATGGGGTAGCACTGGAGATGAGCCACAAGGAGGTGAGACATCATCCCTTCCATGACATCTATCCCAAAAGATCCACCAGAAACACTGTAATGGAGACTCTATGTCTCTGGCAATTACGGCGGGTGCTGAGAAGGCCAGTCTCCAGCATGATGCTCAATGCCAGGCCTTCACCCAGACTGTGACAGCTCTGGTGCTCACTCAAACACAGCCACCCCCAGGGTACAAGTAGATCCAAGGAGAGCTGTCACAAGACTTGTTCCAATGTTCACCACCTCATTGATCCCAAACCACAGACCCTGACCAGGACAACTGGGGCTCTTCTCCTTATAGCTATATACCTAGGGAATACCACCATCAGTGATTAGCAGGTTGTTTTCTAACCCTGCCTATGAGGGAACATGGTTAGTAACTTCTCTTGCTAAAGGAAAAGGAAGCTTATTATGCAATGAGATGAATGTTTGTAAAACACCTGTTGGTTTAAACTGGCTTGGCACTTCCTCTGTAACCTTTTCCTCACTAAGGTTAGGTCATGGATGTTTCTCAAGGAGGGAAAAAAAGGGCTTGCATTGACCAGAATTAAAATTAATTAGTCCATAGAGTAGAAAGAAAAGAGAATATTAGAATTGAATGCCTTCCACTGGACAGATAAAGGAAGAGAAATCCTTGTGGCAGATAAAGGAGGAGATGTAGATCCACAAAGACCCTATTTCTCCACCTCCCTGCTCCCAAGCCTGTAGGAAGAAGCAAGTCATAAGCTAATACAAATCCAAGGAAAACTGAAGGGCAAACAAATATCCAACTTAGAGTCTTGGGAAAAGTAACTTTAGTAGGGAAGTCATTGCTTCTAAAAAGAATGGCAAAACAAGGCTTAGTTAAGGAAGGCACTGAGAATGAGGTGATGAGATTCCCACAGATGGAATACCATTTTTTGACAGCCATCCTAATCCTAAGCCAAGATCATTAAGTGGTCACAGTCCAATATTCTAGAAATAAGCTACAAGTTATAGTAGCAACAGCTGGGATTAAGTGGGGGCTGGTAAGAGCATATAATTCCAGAATGGGATGCCCATGCTGGATTTGTTATATTAACAGATTGCAGCAAGGAGAAAGTAGTTAGGATCCTGCTAAAACAACAGGATTCGGTGAATATTGAGGTTCTTGGGGGGCAGTGGGACAATAGAAAGACCACTACTTTATTTTTTTATTTTTTTATTTTTTTGAGTTGGAGTCTCACTCTGTCGCCCAAACTGGAGTGCAGTGGCCACTCCCAGCAACCGCAGCCTCGACCTGCTGGGCTCCGGCGATCCTTCCGCCTCAGCCTTCCAAGTAGCTGGAATTACAGGTGCGCGCTACCACGCCCGGCTAATTTTTGATTTATTATAGAGTTGAGGTCTCGCCAAGTTGCCCAGGCGGGTCTCGAACCCGCGGGCTCAGGCAATCCACTACTTTATAGAAGATCATGATCATACCACTAAATACCATAAAGGGATAGACAAAGCCAAATAAGGGACTGTCTCCAGCCAAATACACAGGTAATGTCCCAGCCCCAGAAATTTAATGCAGTCTGAGAAAGAACAATAGTTTCAAAATTGTCAGTTTGTATTTCAGTATTCCATTTTTTTCTTACTTATAGGAGATAATGAAAGAATGGCAGTCTGGTGTGGGGATTGACAGGTGGTAAGCATGTTGAGAACAGTGTCTCGAGGCATATGGTGGGCTGCACTTAGTGAGCGGCCATCCTCTCTCAAGTTGGAAAACAGAGGTGTGTTCAGACAAGGTCTAGAAGCAGTGGGATGGTGGTTAAAGGGAGACAGGACCCCTTTGGCAGTGGGGGAAGAAGCTTGGATCTGCTTGGAGCACTAACAGTTTCAACAGACCTAAAGCAGAAAGTGCTTCAGAAGATACTGAGACGATTGTAATCAGGTTCATAAAAAGTGAGACCTAAATACAAAGGGGATCCAGAAAACCCTGGAATTATCTTTTAGAGGGTGGGCACCTTGTAGTACAGGCTTCCCCTGCTAGGTAAGTATTCTAGGAACCCATTGACATCAGTGTATCAGCCAGCGTTGTTGTGAGAGGCTGCGTTCAGCTTCAGTAAATTTTTTTTGTGGCAAACAGGTGACTGGTTCTTCCCCCATGACAATGTGCCTGCCCGCATTGCACTGAGCATTCAAAATTAAAATTAATTAGCCATTTGTGACCAAAAAACAGTATGACCCCATGACCCACCCTCCCTATTCACCTGATCTTGCCTGGAGCAACTTTTTTTCATTTTCCCAGATGAAAAATGTATTCCAAGGGAAACATTTTGCCAATGTGAAAGTGGTGAAACAAAAAATGGCAGAAGCACTAAAAGACATCAATATCAACATGCTCAAAAACTGTTTTGAGCAGTGGAAAAAGCATCTCAATAGGTGTATTGCATCAAACAGAGAGTACTTTGAAAGTGACTGAAGTTTAAAACATGTAAGAATAAATACACAACTTTTTATAAATAAATTTCAGGGACTTTTTGGATCTCCCTTTGTACAAGTCACAGAGAAGGCGTTTGGTCGGAGGAATGGCTCAGTGAAAAATTTAAAGGCAGAAAATTGTCTAGTGTATTTAAAAGTAGAAAAGACTACTTGATAGAGAGGGGATATGTAAATAGGCAGGGGAGGATGAATTTGCAAGAGTGGAAATATTAGGTTGAGAGCTCTGAACTGTCCTCTCGACAACAAGGAGCTATACAAAGTTTTGAAGGGAATGACCACTTGTGCAAAGAGGAATTTAAAGAAAAGTAATCTGTCGACAGTATGTAAATACTTTAGCTGGACAGTAACAGCTAAGGTGAGAACCGTATCTGTAGCCTCATCCATTATGGTCTCCAAAGCTCCTATCATAGTGCCTAGCATGAAGTCAGACTCAGGAGTAGAGATGATTAATGATAGAATAGATGAAGAAGTACAGTTGTCCCTTGGTATCTGTAGGGCTTGATTCCAGCACCCTCACAGATATCAAAATCTATGAATGCTCAAGTCTCTGATATAAAATAGTGTAGTAGTTGCCCATGACCCATGCACATCCCCCTCTATACTTAAACTCATCCTAGATGACTTATAATATTTAATACAATGTAATTTTCATGTAATTTCCATACCTTGTTTAGGAAATAATGACAAGAAAAAAAATGCCTGTATATATGCAGTACAGATGTTCTTTTTTATTTTTTATTTTTTCAAATATTTTCCATTCCATCGTTGGTTGAATCCGCAGATGTGGAAGCCACAGAGACAGAGGATTGACTGTATTGGCAAAAGTTCAGTTTAGAAGAGTAAAACTGGCTGGGTGCAGTGGCTCATCCCTGCAATCCCAACACTTTGAGATGCCAAGGCGGGAGGGTTGCTTGAGCTCAGGAATTTGGGACCAGCCTACGCAACATAGGGAGATCTTGTCTCTACAAAAAAAAAAAAATTGGCTGAGCATGGTAACATAAGCCTGTATTCCCAGCTACTTGGGGAGGTTGAAGCAGAGGGATCCCTTGATCTCAGGAACTGTAGGCTGCGGTGAGCCATTATCATGTCACTGCACTCCAGCCTGGGCAACAGACTCAAAAAATAAAAAACACAAGACTACTGCACAAAACACCCAATGTTATGAGCCAAGACTAGGGTAGGAAAGGTTAAAAACAGACTTTACGTGGGAAAATCTATTACATAGAGTGACTAATTTATATGTCCGGAGAAAGGGAGAATGTGAAGTCCTAGATGGCTTGAGTACCTGGGAGATAAAAATCCAAAAAAGTAACTGTTTGGGGTTAAAGGATGATGAATACAATGTTATTAATGAATTTTGTTATTCACTCATTCATTCATTTTATTCATTCAGCTGAGAGCATTTTAGGGAGAAGGGAAGAAAAAGGAACTAAAACAGGAAAGAGCTTGAAGATTTCAAGGCATTGAAAGGAGGACAGTGAAGTGAAACTTGCTGTGCAAGGTGGGAGGCATAGTGATAAAAGTTTGGAGATGGTTTTGTAGTTGCTGAGCTGCCCCAAGTAGAGATTGGGGGCCTAGACCTCTGGTGAGATGTTAGATTGGGAGATGCTTTGTTACCAGTGGAGCTTCTAAACAATTACTCAATGGCTTTCAGAGATTCTTTGGCTCTGTGGTAACCCCGGGGGGTAAATGCTTTTCAAATACCAGCTTCAAAAGTGAATGTAGCATATTGCTCCAGGGCAATGAAGCGGGGACTGCTGTGTGAGTGGCATTTTGGTAATCCCTCACAAAAGTGAATTGGTCAGAGACAATAACAACATAATTTTCCATTGGTGTGTCAAAATTTTAAAACCAACAATTCTTTTTTTTTTTTTTTATTAATCAGTATTTTTTATTATGGTTTTGTGGGGTACAGTTAAGGGTTAGGTGTACCATTACGTTTCATTCAGGCACCCTGTTGATAAGAGGTGTTTTCTCATCCCCCGACAGATATTTGCTACTGTTAATCCCATCCCCCTGCCCCCCATAGTTTCCCAGTACTGTCAGTCATTTTCTTATAGTATTACATTGGATGTTCAAGGTCCATTATATGAGTGAGAACATGCGATATTCAGATCTTTGTTTCTGTGAGAGGTCACTCAGTATTATAGGCTCTAGTTCCATCCAGGTTGCTGCGAAATTCATGATTTTGTTCTTTTTTATGGCTGCGTAGTATTCCATCGTGTATATGTACCACATTTTTTAATCCAGTCCTCTTTTGATGGGCAGCATGGTTGTTTCCAGGTTCTTGCTATTGTGAACAATGCTGCGATAAACATACGTGTGCAGGTATCTTTTTTATAGAGTGATTTGTGTTCTTCAGGGTATATTCCCAGTAGGGGGATTGCAGGGTCATATGGAAGGTCAATTTTTAGAGCTTTTAGGAATCGCCACACTGCTTTCCACAGAGGTTGCACTAGTTTACACTCCCACCAACAGTGTAGAAGTGTTCCCTTTTCACCACACCCTTCCAGCAGCTGTTATTTTTTGAGTTGTTGATAATTGCCATTCTGACTGGAGTTAGGTGGTATCTCAGTGTGGTTTTGATTTGCAACAATTCTTTATACATAGGGGAGGAAAGATGGTATAGTGGCTATGGTTATGAGCTCTGGAGCCCAACTGTTTGGGCTTTAATCCTGTCTCTGTCACTTTGCATCTGTGGGACCTCAAGCAAATTTAAATTTTTTGTGCCTCATATTCTTTATTTTGAAAATGATGATTTTAATAGTGCTTCTTATATAGGTTTATATGAAATATTGAGTTAAATAATTTATGTCAAGTGCTAAGAACAGTGTCTGGCACATGATAAATGTTCAATAAATTTTAGTATAAATGGTTTAGTCACTTTATTCCAAATATATGTTAGAGTACCTTTTTGATATATTATCTGATGTGGTATTTTCAAATTCCAGTAATTAATTTTTGTCCTCTGGCCTTTCAAAGCAGTCAAGCACCCACTGCCTTAGGGGAGAAATATTACCACAAAGAAAGCAGAAAAGACAGTTTCAGAAGCCAAATTTCTACAATAGCAAGAGCCTAGACATTCGAGTTTCAAAAGTCTAAATATTGAAAGTCCAAGGACACAATGTTTATGCTAGAAAGAGTTGATTGGAAGAATACAGGCTGGTGGAGGAACTAGCTTTTCTGACCCTACAGGAGATATTTTTTATGCTGAGAGAGCTAAAAGGAATTGATTCATGCCGATGCTCAGACACCAGTTTTCACCCTAAAAAGAAGGCCAAGTGCTCAGGCTCTGAAACTGGGAATTTTAAGAGAGTGGAAAATAGAACCCTCAAGGAGTTGCTGAGATCTGAGAAAGGAAAATTCCTGTGCCTCACTTCCCTTGGGAGGACTATGGGACACAGCATGCCTGTCCATTGTGCCAAGGGGACAGTTCCACAGAGATAGATAGATACATGGGAGTTTAGGCAGAGGGTCTTGTAGAAATTCCATTCCTCTGGTACAGCTTGGAGAACATGAGAGAACAGCACATCACCTTGTAAGCAATAAGTGCACAAATCAATGACCGTGATGACTTGAGGGAAACACTGCCGTCTTAGTGAATGCCAGTGTGAACAGATGGTTGTAACCAATGATAAGTAGCCATAGCCCACAGTTTGGGATTATATAAGCCTCAGGAATGTATAGGTAATGCCAGAGATCGGGACAATCAGAGCAGTAGGGTGGTGGGAGACCGAGTTGACAGTGGTTGTGCAACATCAATTGAAATTAAGTTTTTATTTCCAGTTGGAATAGTAATATGAAATAAAATTCAGTTAAAGAAAAATACAGAAAAACATGTCTTACATACTTCTATTACTTAAAAATATAGAAATGTAGAACAAATATAGGGAAAATTACTTTTCTTGCCTGTACCCATTAGAATGAAAATACATGTAGACCAAATGAATGGGTCCGTGCAGAGAAGTCAACTGCTTATACCTTGCCTTCTCATTTTATAGAAAGATGATGCCCAGAGTAAATAACGCCATGATTTGTAAGAAGGCCAAGGATCTCTGCCCAGACCCATGAAAATAAAGCAATGAAAAAAAATCTACCCTTAAAACCAGAACTGTTTTTTTAAAGTTTTATATAGAATTTGCAACATTTGCAAGAAAATCCGCCTTAACAAAATTCAAGGCAGTCACATAATATTCTGAAAAGTGGCCGCCCCCCAAGTTACATTTTGAATATTAACAGATGTGAATTTTTTTAGGAAATGGATGCTAGCATTTTCATTCTCTGCATATTCTGTATTTATATAAGGCAGTTTGTTTTCCACAGTAATCCTCTGTCATTGAGACCTTGCTCTTGACAAACTTTAGTGGTTTTAGGATCAAATTCCCAAATTGCTATTGTGATGGAGCCATGGCTGCCACTTTTCCTTTCCTGTATCCTGAGTATACTCTGTTATTTCTTCCATTTATAACCTCTGGGTCTGCTTCCACAAAACCAAGGTTCTCTGGTGGGTAAATACTTAGCTGCAGCATTCTCTGAAATAGCGACTGGATTGATGCTTCTTTGGCTTTGTCCAAATCCAAACCCCTGTTTCTGTCCTTTGCTTTCTGTCTTTAGGTGTTCAGGAGGCCCTTTTGTCATCTGTCTACCTACAGCCTGGTTTGGGGCATGGCAACAGTGGTACTGTGCACAGCACAAGGTAAAGAAGCTCAAGTCCTCTGCTCGGAGTCCAGCCAGCACAATTTCTGGGGTGGAGAATGCATCCACATTGTTTGTGCTGTGCTAGTTCCATTTGTCTGCATGAATTATTTAAACATGTAATTTGCTTGGAGGAGTGGGAGTGGTTCTTTCTGCTTTCCACAGTGTTGTCTTCAAAGTAGAAAAATACTGATATTCAGAAGCTGTTTCTGTAGATGAACCAGGCTTATGAAAAATATCCTCTCTATATTAAAACGCCATTTTTCACCTGCTGAATTGAAAATCTTTTAAAATTAACAAACCCTGTGTTTGTAGTGATATGAGAATGCTTGGGGAAGTATGAATAGATAATACCTTTTTGGCAGATAATCTAATGGGAAGCCTTGAAGTTGGGAGTGCCTCCATTTTACAAAAAAATATAGAACACAATGAAATAGAGAGGTGATGGAGGTTCACATTATCTGTTGCATAAGAAATGGTTCACATTATCTGCTGTATAAGAAAAGGTTCACATTATCTGTTGTATAAGAAATGGTTCACATTATCTGTTGTATAAGAAATGCACCCATACCATCTACTTATCTGCTGAATTTCTAGTTCTTCCTCCTCTGTTCCATGGGAGGCCGCCCCTCACTTTGCTGCTGGACCGTTTCTCAGTTTCAGTGTGGTATTACTCAGCATCAGCCTCTACATGATTAATACTGATGGAAAAACAAGCTATCTTCATGCCTATCTAAGACCATGGTCCACGGTACTCATCACAGGACCTACCAACTGACTGGGGGAGTCTAAACAGAATTCCATATAAGCAGCAAATAATTATAAACTTTCCACTAAATGATTTCTTCCATAGCCAAAAAGAAAGAAAAAAAATCACCCACATTCGAACTTAGTTTTGATCCCTTTTCACTCTGCATTCTAAAAGCAACAATTTCTTCAAATCTCTACAAAATCTCATCAAACCTTCAGGAACAGCAGGTATTGCCTCCCACAACTTTTCATATCATCCAAGCATACACATCATTAAATCTTGAGTATGCAAGATTTAAAAGCTTTATATAGAAACTCAGGGTTCCAGTCTATATTTGTCATGCCCATCTTCTCCTCCTTGATATTGTTGTGGAGTTGTTTGTACAACCTTCTTTTCATCCCTACTTATACTTGCCAACATTTTATCCATATCATTAGTCTTAGAAAACAAATTTTGGTGTTTTTTTTAATCAAGTCTACATTTTATTTTCCATTGTATTAATTGGTGCTTTTATCTTTATTGATTCACTGCTATTTTTTGGAAGGGAAAGTAGGAGGTATGGAAGTAAGTATGTATTCATTTTTCAATATCTTTTGTTTCCTATTAAACGTAGCTAAAATTTAAAAAGTCCCTCTGATAACTGCCTTACCCATTTCCATAGATTTTTAGTATATTGTGCTTTCATTTGTCATTCAGTTATTATAATTAATGACTTCTGCTATGATTTCCAGTGTACTTAAGAGTTAAAAGAAGTTGTGTACGTTTATAATTGTATTGCATTGTGAATGGTGTTCAAGATCATAGAGTAGAACGTGTTTTGAAGCCTATTTCAAAGTTCTGTTTGGGAGAATGTCTTATGTGTGCTTTAAAAAGATTATGCAGTCTTCCTTTGAGTAAAGTGTGTGTGTATACATATATACACATATATATACCTTATATAAAGTATATAGTATATATGACATAAAGGATATATACTACATATACACTATATAAAAGTATGTATAGTGTGTATTGATAAAGTATATTAAATATATAAAGTGTACATATACACATATATTGTTTTTCAAATTTTCTTTTCTTCTTATTTATAGACAGAGTCTCACTCTGTCATCCAGGCTGGAGTTTAGTGGCATGATCATATCTCACTGAAGCCTTGAACCTCTGGGTTCGAGTGATCTTCCCACCTCAGACTCCTTAGTAGCTAGGACAACTATGCATGCACCACTTCCAGCTAATTTTTTGTATTTTTGTAGAGATGGGATCTTGTTATGTTGCTCAGACTGGCCTTAACTCATAACCTCAAATGATCCTCCTTTCTTGGCCTCCTAAAGTGCTGGGATTACAAGCATGAACCACTATGCCTGGCAGTTTTTCAAATTTTCTATATCCTTATATTTGACTTTTTTTGTTCTCACGATTTTAAAAAATATATAGAATTAAAGATTTTGAGTGAAGCATAGAAAAGTCTCCAATCATAATTGTGGATTTATACACTTTTTGGTAATTCTACTAGTTCGTGCTTTATATATTTCAAAGTTATATTTTTGAGGGCATGAAGGTTCATGATTAATATGATTAATATATATTATTTTGGATTACTCCTTTTATCATTTAGAAAAATACTTTTTTTCCTCTTATAGTGCTTTTGTCTTCCATTCAATTTTTTCTTTCCTTTTAGAAGTTCTTTTGGACTGATATTGGAACATGTATATCTACTCATTGAGTTTTTCTTTAATCCTTTCCATATCCTTATACCTTTGTGCCACATTCTGGAAGAAGTACATGACCTAGTCTTCCTGCTTACTAATTTAATCTTTAGTAGTACTCATTTGCTAAATTAGCCATTTTGATTGTATATTTCTCATTTTCTGCATCTCTAATTTCTACTATTTACAATGCTGGCTTTTATTACACTTAAGATGCTATGTTTATTCAAGTCAAAGTGTTTATTGATTTATGATATCATTATTTGGGATGAGTTCTTGAACTTGTAAAATTTATTGTTCCTCTTTCATTATGTTAGCTTTTTCTGTTGTTTGACTATTTATCATTATATTGTGATTTCCCATTAAATCATGCATTATAGTATAAGTAACTAGTATTGAAGAGGGGAATAAATTATTGCCATAGCATTTAGTGAAAATGGGGAATATGTAGCTTGCCATTTGAGTATCAAAGCTTCAAGCTCTTTTCTGGTACTGCCAGCCTCCTGGAACATTGTTTTGTATCTCTCTCTACCTTATGTTCTTATACTAATTCTTGCTTCCTGGAGGCAGACACCCTTGTGCTGCCCCCTTCCTTTGTAGAATGTGTGTATGTTCATGTGTTTCTGTAGAATATGTAGGGCTGCTGCATCTTCTTTGCTTAAACTGATCACTCTTCCTGTTGTCCTTTGCACTTTTCTTGCTCTTGGCTTCTACCTCTCCAAGCTTGAACATACTTGGTGATGCTGCTATCTACTCTGGTAGTCTCCATCTTCAATCTTATTCTATCTGCTTTCCAGCTTACAGGGAGTCTTCACAATTTCTGTTAACTGAGAGTTTGCTTTCTTGTTTTTCTACTCTGCTATCATACTTTCCAATATTGAACCAATATATTTGAACCTATATTTATCTAGCAACATAGAATATAAACAAATAAGAATATAAATAAATGTTGTTTTCTCTTTTGCATGCTTCTCTATCTCTTCTGTGTTTGTCTTTGGACATGCATTGTATTTGTAATCAGGGAAATGTTTGTGTTTTAAAATTTTTTAATGTAATTTTCTTTTATGATTCCATAGTGGAAGTGTGGACCCAAGATGAAAGAGAGCAGCTGTACACACCTGCTTCCTTAAAATGCTCTCTGCAGCCTTCCCAGAACGTCTTGGTTGTGACATGGCAGAAAAAGACGGCTTTAAGCCCAGAAAACGTAGCCACCTACAGTGAGAAACACGGGGTGGTGGTCCAGCCTGCCTATAAGAACAAGTTAAACATCACCCAGCTGGGACTCCAAAACTCAACCATCACCTTCTGGAATGTCACCTTAGAGGATGAAGGGTGTTACATGTGTCTCTTCAATACCTTTGGTATGGGGAAGATCTCAGGAACAGCCTGTCTTCTCACCTATGGTGAGAGTCTCTGAGAATGCATTGTCTCTCTCTGGAAATACTACTTTCGAGAATGTTTGGAACATAGTTATAATGCCTAGTTTTTCAGGATCCTAATTATAGAAAGGGTCATAAGAAGACACTTAGCCTTTCATGTCTACCGTATCTGTGTTCATGGTTATTTGGAGAGTTCATGGGACTACACTGAATTCTTTGGCTGGAGCTGTCTTTTCTCTAAGATATCCTGCTGTTAGCACGAGTAAATTGAGGACAATGGTAAAGGCAACAAATTCTTCCTAAACAGTGATATAATTCAGACCTGGCTTTGCTATTAGGAATCATGTGACCCTTAGAGGGTCCTGTCTACTCTCTGCACTGGAATCTCCCTGTCTGGACAATAAGTGTGAAATAAATCATCCCTAGAACCCCTTAAAACTTTAACTTTTTGGATCTAAGGACAGACCCAGCTTGGGTTAATCTCGAACTAGTAATGTTGGTCGTTCTCATTTTTCTTCAGGGCAGCTCTTTCAGGATTGATAAGGGCACATGCAGCAGAGCTTTTTCTTTTCTTTTTTTCTTTTTTTTTGAGTTGGAGTCTCACTCTGTCGCCCAGACTGGAGTGCAGTGGTCGCTCCTGGCCACCGCAGCCTCGACCTGCTGGGCTCCAGCGATCCTTCCTCCTCAGCTTTCCGAGTAGCCAGAATTACAGGCGCGCGCTACCACGCCCGGCTAATTTTTTGATTTATTGTAGAGATGAGGTCTCGCCTGCCCAGGCGGGTCTCAAACCCGCGGGCTCAGGCAATCCACTCACCTCAGCCTCCCAAAAGCGCAGGATTACAGGTTGAGCCACCGAGCACAGCTAGCAGAGCTTTTTCATACCTTAAGTGATATCAACTAGGGATGCAACTGTATAGTCATCATTTTTTAAAACATGTGAGAGGCTTAGTTTGATGAGATTTCTTTCCTCTTACCTGACACATAGCCAAAATGAAAGATTAGGAAGTAAGGATAACTTTGGAGCATGACACACTTGGCAGTAGTTTTAGGAGGGGGAAGAAAATTTAGCGTTATTAGGAATATTAAAGTGAGAGTTTCAGCATGCTAAGAATGTTGCCCATGGGGGAAGCGAAGTCTTCATAGATAAGAATGCAAAATAAGTAAAAGAGGTTTCGTTTACTTATTTTGCCTCTACTGACTCCTCTCTGCAGGATCATATGCCAGGTTTTTTTTTTTTCCTTGATTTCTACTTCATTCTCTCTGTGTCTGTCTTTCTCTCTTTCTCTCCCTTCTCCTCTCTTTCCTTCCTCCCCTCCCTTCCTGCCTTCCTCTCTTCTTTCCTATCTCATTTTTCTCATTTTTCCTTCTTTTGTCTTATTTTTATCATTTCTGTTCCTTTTCTTTTTCTTCTCTTCCTCTTTTATTCTCCTCTTTCTTCTACTCTCCCTCCAGAGCCACAGTTTTATAACCCTGCTTCCCCCCAGCTTACTGCTGTCCACATGCCTCTAGAACCTATATACTCAGACCAGGCTTTTCTTTAGCACTGCCCTTTAATTATCTTGCAGATTCCAAAACCAGCCACAGAAAGGCAAGTCTGCATTTGCTTGGCAGAGATAAACTGTGTGCTCCAACAACAATGAACTCCTTGGTCAGGGGGCTTTTAAAAGGGAACAGGCTACAGCTGGCTTGAAGATACTATTTCTCATAAGCTAGTTATTTTCTCTTAATGTCCTCAGGTGATCCCCAAGGCCCTTCCAACTGTCGTTTTAAAAAGAATTCTGGTTATCAGCTATGAATTCTAAATTTGCATTTTGTGTAGTTCTTCTGTTTCATCTGTGCATCTCATTCACTGGCCTACCTCCAAGCAGAAAATGGCTGTCTTTAAGCAGCAGCTCCTCCTTGGGCCTTCTGTTCTCAAACTGCCCTGGTGCTTCTGATAGGGACAGGTCACAAGTATAGAGGTACTGGCTGGAGGTTGTGGTCAAGCCATTTGGGAGGAATACTTAAAAGAAGCGGAAATGTTGCGTTACCCTTGAAAGAGGAGAACAGAAAAATTCGGTTTTGGCCCTTTGGGGAGGGAAAGAGTATCATCTGCTTTCTCATTACCCTTTGTTTATCCAGCTAATTCTGCTAGAGACAAATGACAAAAAGGGTCTTTCTCATTATAGGTTTGTATTAGGTCAGTCTCTATCTTGCATGTCAGAGAATTAGACACAAGAAGAACTGGGAAGGTTTCAGTTTGGGTGGGATATGACATTTTTTCTAGCTCCCACTATCTTTCTATAAGGATCTTTCCCTCATCTTTATGAGGAGAATGCAGCAATCAGACCAGGTGCTCAACTGATTATAGATTCTGTTTTTTTGTCCCAGTACAGCCCATAGTGTCCCTTCACTACAGTGCATCTGAAGATCGCCTAAATATCACTTGCTCTGCCACTGCCCGTCCAGCTCCCATAATCTCCTGGAAGGTCCCTGTGTCAGGTATTGACAATAGCACCAAGATTTCTCCTCACTCGAACGGGACCACATCTGTTACCAGTGTCCTTCATGTCAAAGACCCCAAGAACCAGGTGGGGAAGGAAGTGATCTGCCAGGTGCTGCACCTGGGCACGGTGACCGACTTCAGACAAACTCTGAGCCAAGGTAAGAAAAGGCTGGCAAAGATGACTGTGATTGCATCTGTGGGCACACATCCGGAAGGCGGTGAATGTCCTGCAGAGACTTTCAGACTTTCAGCACAGAGCCAACTGGGAAAAGAACAGGGCAAGCAAGGAGAGAAAAACCACTGAGGAAGCAAACAAGTTTTACTTGGGGAAATGTGGTACATTAGATCCACACACCCAATTCTGTTGCTGAGATCCATTCATTCATTTATTTCTTCCATTCTACTAACATTTACTGAGTGTCTATTCTGTGTCAGACTTTGGGTTCAACATGAAAAATACAGCAACGAGTAAGACTCAGTCTCTGCATTCAGAAAGCTTCTAGTTTACTGGAGGAATGCGGGGAAGTGGCTAGGCAATTGTGAAACTGCATGTTAAATGCTTCAGTAGAATGCTGCAGGGCACCCAGGGAGGAATGGAGGTAAGGGAGGAGGGACATGTGCTCGATCTAGGGGAAGTTAGGAAGACTTCCTGGAAGAAGTGACAACTACAATGAAACCGCTGTATAATTTACACTGTGGGAAAGGGGTCAATCTGAAGTGTCTTCATCACCTTGTTTTTAAAACAAACTACCTCCCATCTAAAGTCTCCTTTTGCTCTCCTCTGTTTTTACCTAAACTACTGTCTCTGGGCCTCAGAGATACAAGAGGTGAGAATTATGGGTGAGAAAATAAAGTGAGCAGTGATTTTAGAGACAAGACGTTTTAGTGATACAGTCACGGTTTTCTTTCTCTCTATAGTTTTGAAGCACTAACTCTAGATGAAGCATTCAGTAATAGCCTCCTAAAACTATTACTGCTCTTTTGGGGGGGTATTTCAAACAATAAAACCTGGAAAAGCTTTTCTACATACCTCTCATTGGTGGCCTCTAAGGAACATCTCTTGTAGGCATTTCCAGAGGCCTTGAAAACCATACTAATCAGATAGTGGATATTTAGGTAAATTTGGTCAAAAAGGCTTGCAATGCTGGGTTTGGGTATTTGTGAAGAGATCCTAGGGTTTAGACATGACAAAGGGTAAATTTCCCTGAAAAAGAAGAACCTGAAAAAAGGACATGTCTTTTACCCCAAGAATGCCAAATTTGACTTATATCACTTTTAATGTCTGTATACCATTAGTATAATGTTTGTTCATTCTGTGATCATTTACTAAAAATCTTCCATGTTCAAAGCATTGTGCCAAGGATTAGAGCTACAAATCTGTGTCTGAAGTTGCTCAGTTGATCATGATATGACAAATCCCACTATAGAGGTGTGTAAAAAATGTTGGAGACACCCAAATCAAGGAACACTTCCTCTGCCTTTGTACTGCAAAGTGACACTGAGGAGCTGAGATTTAGGCTAAATTGCACTTACTGCCTACTGGAAAGAGATTAGGTAATAGTAATGTTTAACTCTCGGGGTGTTTTGAGGTTTAAATGAAATAACACATTTAGAGTTCTTATGTAGAAGCCAGATAAAACACTTTAGCTATTACTAATATCTAAATGTTATTAAGTCATGAATATAGACTTTCATACATACGTATTTAAGGGTAATTTTAATTGAAAGGTCAAATCTAGTAAAGACCCATTATAATGATTGCCTTATCACTTTTTGCCTCAACAACTTCCTCTTGTGACTGTATTTTCCCTTTTCTTTCTTCAATATCTATAGGCTACTGGTTTTCAGTTCCGCTATTGTTAAGTATTGTTTCCCTGGTAATTCTTCTGGTCTTAATCTCAATCTTATTATACTGGAAACGTCACCGGAATCAGGACCGAGGTGAGTCATCACAGGGAATACAAAGAATACACAAGTTAAATCATTTTTTTAATGCCAACGTGTGGGTCATTTGACGATATAAATAAGGGAATGACAATAGTGTATTTTGTGCTGTTTACAAAATATGTAAATGCTGATGTTGTTATAAAATGCTTCAGGGTCATTTTCTTGTAATTGGACATTTAATTAGACATTTCAGCTTTTCATTTGCTAAGATGGTTTAAATGCTAATTATTTTATAAGTTGAGAGTAAGAGTTAATGAAAGGAAATGAGGAAAATGCTTATCCAATCACAATGGAATCATTTGATAGCAGAACCAAAGAAAGTCTGGCACCAATGCAGGGTCCTCTCCACTCATTAATGAGAAAGACAATCTCTCCTCTTTTTACAGCACTTCACAGGCCATCTGCCCATTCAAGAGACTGTGAAATTGTCCGATTATGGTCACTCACTAAGTAGCACTTTCTATGTCATACTCCCACGATCTCTCAAACACTCTCAGCAACATGCAGGCGATCCATACTTATGGTAACTGTGGCATGTCATTCTCCCCTTCTAGACTATACATCATCATTTCTCTTTCTTCCCCACAACATCTATCATGGCATCTTATATGTTCCAAGTATTCAATAAATGCAAATTTATGAATGAATGAACAGGAGATGGACAAATTTTTCAAAGTGATTATTTCCAATGCCCTTACTCCTACTTAAATCTAGTACCTCATAAATGCAAGTATAACATGTGAAACAATGTAGAACAGGAGACACTATAAAACAAAGGGAGTGAATTACATAGAGAGAAAGAACTAAATTTCCTTTATTTCTGAAGACAGTTTAATATATTAAGGTGAATAAAAAGCTGCAGTTTATGTTTTGTGTAATGAGAATTTCCTAGGGCTAAAGAGTAATATAGGAATTTCTTCTATCTCAGATGACTGGAGAATAGAGTCAGGGAAGAATGTTGGCTTTGATTGATATTTTAGACTTTAATTAAAAATCTTATTCAAATATCACCTTTTTATTTCATTTTAAAATGTTTTACATACTGTATCTTTCATGTTTTCAGTTTTTGGAACACTTTCCTTTGCATAAGCCTCCAGATTAATTCTTGTGAATTTATAAAATAAATAACAAATCTTCAGTGTCAGTGGTCCTTATGCAAGAGTGGTTAAAATATTTTCTGTCCTGGAGAGAAGATTACAAATCAGATAATCTTAATGCACATAAATGTAAACCCATGGAACTCTTAAATGCTCCACAGAACATCAAAGGCAGAAGTCTGTTTGATTCTACTTTATCCAAACATTTCATTTTTCAGGTTAGGAAACTGAAGCCCAGCCTTCCTTAAAGTCACACAGCTTCTTAGGAGTAGGCTAGGACTAGATTCTTGGTCTCCTCACCTTTGCCAGAATATTCTTCCAATCATTACTGATGCGGAGGGTGCTGACTTGAAAGGAGCTATTGTTTCCAGTTGTAGTCACTTTAATCTGCGCTAACGGTTACTGCCCATATTCTTTTGGAAAGTACATGCAAAAAACATACAAAGTATCCAAATCTATTTTTAAAAGTCCCTCTTGTGCAAATGTCATATAATACCATCTATTCAAGCCCAAGGTAAATTTCACCAGAAAGAGACATTTGCAAAGTAATTGTCTTTTTTATTAAACAAGTCTTGGATTTTCTGGGAAATATAATTATTCAATGCCAGTATTTGATTCTTGAAACAAAAACAGCTTATCTCTGTGCCCAAGTGTTTCCTTATTTATGAAATAAACACCAGAACCCGCGATGAATCTTGTAAGAATTTGGCCTACCAGTTAATTTCTCTGAATGTTCAGTGGCATATTTTGAATGACTGAACTTTTTACTTGTGTCTTAGTCCATTTGTATTGCTATAAAGGATATCTGGAGTTGGATAATTTATCAAGAAAAGAGGTTTATTTGGCTCATGATTCTGAAGACTATACAGGGAGCATGATGCTAGTATCTGCATGTGGGGTGAGGGCCTCAAGCTGTTTCCACTCATGGCAGAAAGGAAAGAAGACCCAGTGTGTGTAGAGATTACATGATGAGACAGGAAAACAAGAGGGGACATTGAGGTGCCAGGCTCTGTTTTATTTTTTTATTTTTTATTTTTTTGAGTTGGAGTCTCATTCTGTCGCCCACACTGGAGTACAGGGGCCGCTCCCGGCCACCGCAGCCTCGACCTGCCGGGATCCAGCGATCCTTCCACCTCAGCCTACCGAGTAGCCGGAATTACAGGCATGCGCTACCACGCCCGGCTGATTTTTTTGATTTATTGTAGAGATGAGGTCTTGCTGCCCAGGCGGGTCTCAAACCCGCGGGCTCAGGCAATCCACTCACCTCAGCCTCCCAAAGGCGCGGGATTACAGGCTGAGCCACCGAGCCTGGCCAGGCTCTGTTTTAAACAACCAGCTCTCGTGGAAAGTAGCAGAGTGATCACTCACTCACCTATACTCTTATCAGGAAGGACATTTAGCTGTTCACGAGAGATCTGCCGCTATGACCCAGACATTCCCACTTGGCCCCACCTCCAACATTGCGGATAAAATTTCAAAGTGTTTGGAGGGTCAACTATCCAAACTATATCAACTGGTTTCAAAAAGTTTCCATATGATTACAGCTAGTAAAACTAAGAGTTGATTATGCTGAAAGCCTAAATGCTAAAGGCTATGGAAATGCTGGTTTATGAAGACCAAGCCTTATGTTATACAAAAAAATTGGAGAAAGGAAAAAAATTCATAGAAGATAGTGACACTTCATATTTCTACAAATAGCAAATTCTGATTGTCAGTTTGTGAAGAAGGGGAATAGTCCTATACATTTGCTTTCCATTTCCCCTAACTCTTACTTTTGTTTTCTTTCTGTTTTTCTTTCTATCATTTTATGAGAACACAAAACTTTTGCATGAGCAGAGAACATGATCGGTCAAAAATGACACAAGGGTTTTGAAATTGCTGACCTGACAAATGGTGATGTGAACAGAAATAGGTGTGTGTGTGTTCAGAGTTTGTAGAGAGGTAAAGAAAAGAGGCAAATTAGTTATTGAATTTACTGAGTGTAAGCAGACAAAGAATCATTTCCATGGAGCTGCCCAGTAACCAGTAAGAAAAATCTGTAAAGTAAGGAAAGTCTGGTAAGTAAGATCAATTATTTGTTGTATAAATGACCCCAAAAGGTCTATTTTAGACCGTAATCACTAGTCATTGCCTACAAAGGTGTAAACAGATGTATAGTTTCTGCCCAGGTTCATCTCTAATGACTGATATTATTTTTACATAGAAGTTAGACTCATATACAATGCTAGAGAGCATTACATTGATTTTTTTTTTCAACTGTAAAGCTGCATAGGCCACTTCTCTGCACTATTCCTGATAGGATCATCATAGTTACTTCCTAGGATATTACCACATCAAGACTAACTAACAAGCTCTCAAAGAATAATCTTTTCTCTTTCATGAATTCAGTACTTTTTACTAAAACAGAAAGTGAGAAAGAATTAAAATTTCCTAGGGAAATTTTCCATCTTGTAATAGTTCTTCCTATTAAAACCAAGTGATGTCATGAATTTGTCCCTTCCACATATATGACAATGTTGTTAAATTTGGGATGGAGAATAACCTTTTATTTCTCGTTAGTCAACCCACCAATCATTACATGCTTCTCATAAACAATTTTTAAAACCTTCACTTTGGGGCAGATCATCATAATCACCTAATTTTTAGATGCCTTTATTTTGAGCAGCCATTTTTTTGTTGTTGTGCTTTGTTTGACTGAGTCAAGGCTGAGTTGAAAAGCAATATAATACTTAGACAATCATGTGAAATTCATGTTCCAAACTTCACTTTTTCCTTAAGTACTGACTATTCCACATAGAACTGTAATTTTCACCCACATGGTGTATGTTTACCTTGATTTCCTTCACATCATAATAACTTAACCTATGAATGGGCTCTTGGCGGTATAACAGTGGTAAGGTTAGTAAAACAGTATTTCCTGGATGAGGGCATGTCATGTCCTTGCGTCTTTGCCCCTTACATCTTCAATGCCAGTAATGGCCAGTTGAGTCCTTTTTACATTGAATCACCCTAAGTCTGACACTCCTGTCTCTCTTTTTCCCTCATAAGGACCCTTGTGATTACATTGGCCTAACTGTATCATCTAGGGTAATCTCTCCATCTCAAGATCCTTAGTTTAATCATGTTAGGAAAACCTTTTGCTATGTAAGGTAGCATAGTCACAGATTCCTGGAATTAGAATGTGAACATATTTGGGGAACCTTTATTATGCTTACCACAAATGTTAAGAGGGTATGGGAAGGAGTTGGGTAAAGGGAAAAACTGATAACTGACCTTTCAGGGTAACATTATATATACATAATTCCATAGTCTTAGCTCTGTTCCTGGCAGCTCTATATCAAAGAACCTAGTTAGAACCTCAGACCACAATACAACTAGGCAAAACTTAGTTTTGCAAGATTTTTTGAAGGTTATATTTTCTCTCTCAAATCTTTATTACAAAAGCATTACTTCTGCTTTCTCTCATTTTCTAATCATCACTAGCTATAATATTGCAAACACTAAAGTTTTTTCATTGGAATCTCAGTTCTTATGTAATTCCTGCTTCTACTCCCACCTCCTCACAGAGACAAGAAATCCTGACTTCTTTTGATATCTTAGTCATAGGCAAGTTCATTAGATTCCCTGTGGAAGATCAAAGTGGGAAAATCACTATGTATAGTGGTAGTGGGCATAACCAAATTGGTTTTCCCCATTTACCATAACTTATTAAAATGAGAATTTCTGAGCCTCTAATACTTGTAGAGTCATGTTGTGAGGCCACTGTAGATTCAGGAGCCCCAATATTTTCCATATTATTTTCAGAATTCTTTAAAATTTCTACTTATAGATCTAATCGATACTAACAACCCATCAGAGCAGTTCTTCTACTGATGGTTTTTCTTTTTAACAGAGTTTTAAA